CCTTACCTTATACACTCTCCATGGCTTTTTCACTGGCTTTGCCATCTAGTCCTTGTAGATTTGTTTTTGAGGTCTTTCTTGATCTGTCTCGTTTTTGTTATGGACTTTATAATTTAATAAAACTACATTTTATCAGTAACAATCTCAGCTATGTTTCCGGTTTAATTGACCTTCACTGGAGGAGTTTCAAAGGAAATTATCACAAAACAGCTTCCTGTGTTTGCCAAAAGGGAGGACAGGCTCTGAGTGGCATCTTGAAGTTCTTGCATCCCTGACTGTCTCAAAGGCAACACTGTGGGAGTGTGTCTTTCTACTGAAAAGTCATGAGTTGCAGGCTTAACACTCACACAGACAACACTCATTTCTCATCTGAAGAGCTGATTAACTCACTTCACTGTTAAGGGTGGGTAGAAGTATCATACACAGCCTTATTTTAACAGCAGAAATGTTGAAATAAAAGAGCATAAGTTATCAAAGTTGACTCTCTAACAAAGAAAACTGATATTAAGGACTATATTACTGTTTATCTGTTCATAGCAAAGCTAGTGCCAACACATGAGTTTTGTGCTTGTATTAGCAATCTAGGAGATGCATTTCTACAAACTGACTGGTGCGTATCAGAGAATGAAGCCAGATCTTGAAAAGCACAGCTTGTCTTTTCTGTCTATGGCAGTTCTGCATTTTTTTCAACCTGAGAAACAGCATTAGTTGATTCTGGATTCAATCTTTAGAATAAAGCTAACTAAACTCCAGTTCTTAGTGTATGTATTGCTGAATAGACAGGGACAATAGCTGATACATAGGTACTACAGATCTTATGACAAAAGTTGCTTTAGGCAAACAACTATTTGAAGGGAATTAAAAGGGCTAATTTTTAGAAATGGTAGATTTAAACTTCTAAAGTGTTTTCCTTGGTGTCGTGATGGCTGACAAGTCTAATCTCGGAAAACTGTGCCAGCCCTCTAGTTTGTTTCCTCAGCCTACAGGTGGGATCAGTGGGTCAGTGAAGAAAGGAAAATGCAGAGGAGATGAGGATGGAGTAAGGAAGATTTCCTTCTTTCTCAGCTAGGAATAGATGCTCTTGATCACAGATTTTTACGGTCATCTTCCAGTTCCATAAGGAAATAAGCCAGCAACATGGACTTCAGAAGGAAGCAGGATGGAAAGTTTTCTCTGTTAGTTGCTAGCTGTCTTATTTCTCTGTTCTAAGTTAGCATACAGTGGCTCTAATCAAAGTCTGACTTTGTGCTGCAAAAGCGTTCAGTAAGAACACACCTGCTATATACACATTTCACTTCATGTGAGGGCTGTTCATGTGTTGTCTTCATGTGTTGAAGAAAGCAAGAAGGAAAATACAAGAACTTGCCTCACTACTTAATTTCAGGATTTTCAGACCAAACAGTCTACAAATCATTTTATAAGTGATTATCCTTGAGGGTTTTGACCAAAGTAGATAGGCAGAAATCTGCTCAGCCCAACACCCATGATGCTGCTTTTGGCTCCTACTGGCTAACTGCAGCTGTGTAGTACTAAAATTAGTTAAAAGTAAGGCTGGTGAGAGCTTAATATCCAGTCATCAGAGTGGCAAATGCACTCCCCAGATCAAGCTAGGAAAAAGTAGTAACTGGCAATTCCCATCTTATATTTAAACCATTACCTTCAGTAGGAGACGTGTTCTCTGTCAATTTTAGGAAAGCCACAGCCACACAGCATTATGTGGTTTTCTCTAATTCCATGCATTAAGTGATTTTGAACTTGCACAGCATAGCTAGAGAAATGCACAGTGGAGCAGAAGGAAATTTAAAGACTATAAAATCTACAGCATCTCTTCATTTCCAGAACAAACAACCAGGAATCCTATATTACGGTAAAAAAAACCCCAACAAAACCAGACAGTGAGCCAAGCGTTCTGCAAGAATACCTAGCTTGTCTAGATTGACCATTTGGTAAGTGTATTTCTATCAGCAGCAAATAAAAGTATTTATAGTGCAAAAAGTGATCTCCAACATCCAACCTTTAAATGCTTGGTGCAGAATGCACAGCCCTATTCAGCACTCAGACTGTCCCAGTACACAGAGGGAAGAGCAAGATGGACATTTCACAATGGAATAGGAAACTTCGTTTGCTTAGGAGGAAGCTGGCAAAGTCGCCCCTAGGAAGTCCAGGAGCTAGCATGCCATTTAATTAGGAGACTGGGACTATCAATTTTCATGTTTCTAATTCATTTCATGCATTGATGCTTGCTTGTTTTTAAGCCATTTCTGAAGGGGAAGAAAACATGAGATGAAGTTTGTAGTCTTTAATAACTGTAAAGACAATACACATGCTTATCAGCTGCTGCTTACAGGTATTTGTCACTTTAACATGACAAGCAAGTATTCAATGTAATAAGGCATTTAGGTTTCAAATGGGTAAAATGGGATTCCACTTCATCTCACTCATCCTAGCACTTGTGGTAATTTAGTTAGGCTGGTTTTCATATGGAGGACTGTACTTGCTTTCAAAATAGAAACTAAACTAGAGAATATGGCATTAGACTATCCACAAAATTCTTGATCAAAACATGTCATGATCCTGTACCTATGTTTAGTCTGTTTATGATACCAACAAAATGAGTTTCTATAAACTTTTCTGAAAGTGTCTTACTCTTTACTAGTTAATTATTTGTCCTGTTTTCTTAGAAGCAAACATTGGCCTTTGGTACAAATTGGAGAGGGTGCTGGGGAAATGCATTTGCTGAAATGTGACTTAAGCTCATTGTCTACAAATCAAAATGGAAAGAGATCTCCAATCAGTGTACATACCAAGTTTCACTTACTGGAAGCACAGATCTAGTTCAAAACATGAAGTACACCAGATTCTGGTTTTTTGCTACCATTTCCTCCCTTTCAAATTTTGTATCATCCAGTACACAGAGTACACTAATGAGCCTAATACAATAAAGAAAAAAATATTCAAGGGTCTTGCTCAGATTCTAAGCAATTTTCACACCCATTTTAAAAACATTACAGTATTAGTAATGGCAAATTTATTCTTGCTACTAGCAAAGACATAACCAGTTGCCCTTTAAAGCACCTCCTTTTTTTTGTTCACAACGATGTGATGTGCTGTTGCTTCATAAAGCTGGATGAGTATGGACTGGAGTGTGCTTTGAACATTCAGTTTGGAATCCCTCATGAGTCTCGAGGAACTTCATGAAAAGAAGAACAGCTTCATTACTAAACAGTCAAGTGCTGCCTGACTACATTAAAATATCCATACTTGAGAATTAACAGGTTTGAAGTCCTTTAGGACACAGGAAAGAATCCAGTTAGTTGTAAATCCAGGGGACTAACAACTGAGCTATTGGATTAAAAGGGACAGGGGGGAAAGAGGCACAAACCAGGACACTACTATCTCCCCATGTTCTCATTCCTGTCTCTTCTCTAACCTGGTAGTAAAAATTGAACTTTATATTTAGGGAAGAAAGATTTGAAATCTTTCTCCATCCGGGCTTCAGATATTAAGGCAAAGATACAGGATCAACAGGGTGAAGGCAATTTCCTTATCCCCCCCTGAGGTGCCAGCTCAAAAGACATCCCTTTCTTCAGCAGTTCTCTTGGTTGCTTCAGGCTATACATACTCCTTGCTGTGAAAACCATATAGTAAAACATCCCCAGCAGATCACAGCATCTGCTCGGAACCTGCAGAATCTTAAGAGGCAATCCAAGCCTATTTCCCATCATTGATTTGTCCCCAAATCCTCAAACATATGTACAGTTACCTTACTGTCTAAAACTGGGCAATTCTGCCACAGTGTAAGAAATCATAACATGGATTTCCATCCAAGAAATTGCCTTCTTTTCCTAAGGGAGCTTGTTCCATGATCTAGAGCTAGTTATGCCTGGTCAGAGCAAGAATGCATATCAGTGGCACACAGCCCAAAGTTTCCTCCTTAACATGGTCCCTTGGAGTATTTAGATTCTGGGCACAGATCTCAGTCCCTACTGGATTTAGAGACAAGTGCATCCTAACCAACAGTACTGGAAATTCTCAGTCATGGATATATCTGCATGGTTTTGTTCTCACAGATGTTTTAAGAATCATCTGCCAAAGCAGGGACTCCTTGTCAGTTTCTAATTTCTAAAGGGAAAACCCTCCCCACTGAGTTACCTAACTACTTGCACAGTCACTAGCATGAAGTGGAGACTGAGTTCCAAACCTGGTCAGCCCAAATATGCCCTACCAGTAAAAATGCTCTGAAGAAAGACATAGGCATATCCACACACAAGTCTTACAGAATGCTGAAATACTCAGACTACCCAGTCAGTTAAGGACATCTCATTTGGGGTCACAATACATCATAGCCTTCCAAGACCAAAGAGTTTCTATGTAAAGAACCAGGTCAGCAGCCTTGCACATGTCCAGGATATGGGAATGTGCAGATGCACGTGCAGGTAGTTGATGCCTTGAGCAGTGAGGAGATACTTAATGCATTTTAAAAACCTGAATCAGTGCCCATGAATGAGGGCTAGAAGCTCCTCAGTAAGTTAAAGCTTCTCCTGTAAAAGCACCATTAAAACTGAAGTATCCTTGGATACTTTCTCAGCAGTTATATGAAGAACTGACTAAAGATGAAAAAATAAAAACTATCCTCTCACCTGTTATCATCCCTCCCAAGCAGCTTAAAGACACTGGTCTCAAGTTGAGGAACTCATATTTTGCAGCTTTAGATGGACCTGTTTTGCAAATAAATAAACTTCATAACTTTCAAGTAATTCATTTTCATACCATTTAGAAAACCAAATTTACTCCGAAGAAAATAATCTTCAGCCTCATTCCAAAAGAATTATAGTTCTTCTCAGCACAGTATTTACCTTTACATACTAATTTCACTATCTCCATTCAGTGGCTGATTGGGACAGTAAGGAATCTGCCAGGGATTTCTCTGGTTGCACACCAAATATGTCTGCCTGATGTGAATGGCCGGAATTTTAATGCCAGTTTAAATGAACAAGTCCTTAAAGGATTCACTTTCATGTCTGTTTTAGTGAAAGCTTTATTTGCAAAGAGGTCAAGAACATTTCTTATGCACTGGTGGTCATTTATGTTTTGGTCTTCTAACCAAGGCCTCCAGATTGGCAGGCCCACCCCATACAGTTCCAAAAATGTCCTTCTCTGTCCTTAGGGCAGCTTCCAGTGGAAGCTCTCTTCCTGCTGTCACCACCTTTTTCACAGCCCGGATCACACTGGTTGGACCCTCTGTGTACTGACTCAGCCAGGCTCGGGCTTCTTCTAATGCTTTGGTTTCATCTGCAGTGGACAGTGTCCCCTGGGAGAACCCCAGGTGCAAAGCCTTCTCAGGGCCCACCCGTACAGCCCCACTCAGCAGCTGCAGGGCTGCCCCACTGCCGACGATCCGCACCAGCCGCGCAGCTCCTCCCCAGCCTGGCACCAGACCCATGTGCTTGTGGACAAAACGAATTTCACTTCCAGGCGTCATCAACCTGTCAATGAAGAACAAACACACAGAGGTCAATCCATGCATCGACTTTTGTTTTCAGTTTCACGGCGCTTAATTTTCTACTTTTTTCCTCCCCTCTGCTTCCAAAGGCTGATACAACTTGACAGTGTGCTCATTACAGCCAGAGCTGGAGTATTTTAATTTTTACATCACACAGTGCCTTAACTGCATCAAAACGAGAAACACAGATTGCCACAAGTAAAGATACTTAGTGCCCACACTGATACCTGTAGCCAGTTCTACAATGTGCTGAAAACAGAATTGCAGATGGAGGACGTTACATTTATTCACAGTGCTGATAGACTTCTTAAGTCATGCCTAAAACAAGAGTACTGGTTGAAAACCAAGCAAGCTAATGTACAAAACATTTCTCAAGAGGATGGATCATTGTCTTAGTACTAATCTGTACTAGGGAGGTTCTCTCAGCACCCTGGTGCTTGATTACAGCACAGGTGGGGGTTTTTTGTCCCATATTTTAGAGGATCCATGTGAATATGATTTCTAACTGCTCACTACAGCAAAGGAAATTGAGATGGATGCTCAACTTATGGCTCACAATGTATAACAGAACCTTCTACTTATGCTTGCAGCATGTAATGGAATTGCTCCCCTCTACAAGGCAGAGTCACGTTCCTCTTTTCAAAGATTTCTCATCTTTGCTTCTTTTCTACAGTTTCTCACCTCCTTTACTTAAGGACTCATCTTAGGCCTGATTAAGATATCTCCCTGGAGGAGCTCTGCTGCAGCAGATTGTTCTGTCTTCACATAGTGGTCACACTGACACACGTTAGGTTAGTGGAAAAAAATCTCTAGAAATAGAAACATATAGAAAAGATGTACAGAAACAGACCAGGACCTGCTCTTTCTTAAGGTGATGTTCTGCAGTGTGGCTGCTTGCTGCTGTTTCTAAGACAAAGGATGGAAATTACACTTGTGAAGTAGACTAGCTTCTACTGCAAGCACTAATTGGCTTTCTGAAGACAAATCTTGTAATACTGAGATCTACACACAAGTCTGTTTTCCATAGTGAAAATACCAAGGTGAACAGCTTTGAAAGGGGAAAGAGAAGGAAAACCTTTAAAAATGCAATGACTTCTAGGAACTTACTGTTCTCAAATCTGCTTAGTTATTGTTAATTGTGAGTTTGCTTGGTTGCTTTGTTCTTAACCAGAGCACCATCAGCATTGACACCACACTGTACAGCATCAGAGCTGAAGAGCTTATGCTTTATCCCAGACCCAGCACAATGCACAAAGGCAACAGCTGACGGGCCAGATTGCATGAAAGCCTTTTTGTAGAGATAGCGGAGGAAGGTTGTGTGACAAAAGGAAGAGAGCAGAGTGTTGCAGGGGAGGAAAGGCTTTTAGCTTTAGCTAGTGCTTCCCAAACCCAGCAAATCCCAGGGAGCTCAGGTCTCTCCTCTCCAAAAGGAAGACTCTGCAAGTCTTCCAATACTCCTTTTCTGTCTCAGCTTCCTCTGCAATTTGCTGACACTCAGTGTCCACTGGGAAAGCAATAATGAAAACATTATTAAGGGTTTAATTCTAGCTGTGCTACATAATGTGAAACATTAAAAAAAGAAGTGGTCATATGCAGTTGGGCATCTGATGCTAGACAACCTGTAGGCAGTCTCATGGGACAGCCACCACAGGTCAGTGAGGCAATATTGCACTAGTATATTCAATCTGAGACTGTCCCAGACACCTGGGTTCAGACCTTGAGGACAGGCAATTCCATGAACATCCTGAGGGCAGTGTAAGGCCTCATCTGGGGAGTCATGTCAATGCTCTCTGAAGTTAGCGTGGAAAGTAAAATTTTACATTAGAAGCACAGCCAATCCGTCAGCACCAAGAAGGAAAAAGTTGAAAACATTTAATATGTGGGAAAGGCTCTGTTTCCCTGCAGAGCCTTCACCTCCCTCTGAGAACCAAACACAATGAAAGGAAAATAAACGACTGACAGCTTAATCTATAGAGAGACTGTGAGGCTGCAGCTTTCCAGGATCTCATTTGGATTCACCTCTCCCTCCAATGCTCCTTTGAACAAGCTCCCCAGAAAATACTGACACAAGCAGTAGAAGGTGTAACAGCAGTCTTGGACTGCCTTCAGGCTTAAGAAAAGGATCTGTGGTTTTTCAGACTTTTCAATTATGAATCCTCTCCTGAAGTCACACTATTTGTTACAGAAACCACTCATCACATTTTCTGTTAGGTATACCACTGACTTCCAGTCTCCATGCTTAAGGAAGCAATGGAGACCTGAGCTCATGTCTAAGAGGTGTATGCAGCTGCCAAGCCAGGCAGGGATCAGCTTCTGAACATCACCAGCTGCAGCCTCACATAAATATTTCCCTTTCTATTGTCTGAAAGGAATTGAGTCTACCTTCTGAGACATGACAGATCTGATCTCCCATTAAAAGAATTTATGTAAGAAAAGTACATCAAGCATTACTAAACATAAAGAGGCAGACATTAAAAAGCTGGAAAGAGCAAAGTAGTATTCATGAGCTGTTTATACCTTATTCACCTAGTACAGGCCCTGCCTGAGACAGAATAGTAGATGAATACAAAATTAACCCTGATTTGACTCAGTATGCCTGTTCTTATCTTCTAGGTCAAGGGAATTAAAATCTGGGTCTCATGTGTCCCAGGGGAAGGTCATATCACTAGACTCCTAGATACATGCTTTCTCTGCCCTAATAAAAGAAAATCTGTTGTATGACAGTACTGAAAAAATATTTATTCAATATAATTAATACATAAAATGACTGAAGACCTTACAAGCAGAGAAACATCCTTCAGAAATGCAAAAGGCAGCAAAATTTTCAAAACTTGAATTGGAAACAAGAGGTTAAGGTAATTTAAGCACCAAAGTGCAGCTGAAACCTTCTTTAAGAACATTTTATTTCCATGTTACAAGCACTACAACCCCCCTAGGAAGAAAGCACAGCCACCATGGGCCACATCCAATTTTGCATTAGTCATCTAAAGCAAACGAGCTACAGCAAATGTTCCTGCTGTACATTTTAAAATGTTCTCAGCTGCACTAAATGTTACAAATCCTCCCCCTTTGATCTGAGGATTCCTTCATTCTGTGACATCTCATTGTGCCCACAAACTACCAACTGTCACATCGCATCTCATCACATCACTGGCAACACACGTGAGAAGAAAACCTTGCCTGTCATTAACAATGCAGCCTAGCAAATCCCACCCTTAAAAAGATACAGTTCTTTCCCCAAAGGTGGCCCTTGCTGTGAGCTAACAGCTATGCTTTTCTTTGCTATTTCCCACCTACCTGAAGCCAGAGCATACACAATAAAGGCTGAAAATGCAAACAAAAATGCATTTTCTCAATTTTTCTGCTTTTTATAAATCCTCATGTTACCGAACTTTTCCAATGGGTATAATCATAATTCCTGGGTACAATTAAGATTACATTAAGATCTGTGCTGGCCCTTGCCCCATCATTTCCTGGACTTTGACTCATATATAGAGCATTCTGACAAGGCAAAGGCACTAGCCAAGTTTACTAGGGAGGGACAAATACCACCCTCCATTTCACACATTTTAAAAGCTCCTACAACTATGCTGTTGAAACCCATGATAGAAAAAAGGATTCCTAAAACACTAAACGTGTTGTCAGCAACCTGGATTTTGTTACCATCCCTGTTTGACTCCAAGTGTCACATAAGGACACAGCTCCTGAATTCCGATCCGGTCCCTGTAGCTGGCATGAGACTGGCACACCATGGGGGAAGGCAGCCAGAATCACACAGAGCTGCAGCACCTGGTTCTCAGCCATAGTTATACCAAGAGAAGCCAGCCAGAACTGCAGGAGATGACTTTTATCTCCCCCACAAATACTTTGGCCTCCTGCTCTCAAACCACTAATCAACATAAATAATAAACAAAGCTTAACTTCTTGGGTTAAATTAAGTTCCCTCACCATATCTGCTACCTTTTTCTATAAATTTTGGTAACATCTATCTACAGGTGACTGGACCAACACAAAGTGGAGACTCTCCAAAAAGAAGAGTCAAAGGCCTTGGGATACAATAAAAGACATCCATGATTTCACCATGCTGTGGAGCAACAGTCATAGTAATAATAAGAAATCTTCAAATAGAACTAGATATTTTGCAAAACATAGATGCAGATCCAGACACATGAAAAGTAATGGCTGTGGTCAGCCACACATGTATTTTGGCTGTCATTACTCAGCAAAGACAGCAAGAATACAGTGCTGATATCAAAGGCTTTCAACCAACCATCCAAACCACACATGCAACTATTTTAGGCACAGGGAAAGAAAAAAGAACCCCACCACAAGAATGGTAACAGAAAGAAGGTTATCAAGTGTCAAACCAGCAAAGAATAGAAAAATAAATTTGATGTACAATGCTGCCATACACTTTCCTCAACATGTATGTCTTTCAATACATTCATCAGTATGTCATCAGCTTAATTAAATCTTGATAAATTAAGTAGCAGCAGTGCCAGGCTGACACATGGCCAAAACAGCTTTTTTAAATACACACTGCTGGGGAGTGCAAGTTCAAGAATTCGTTAAGAACTCAGGTATAACATTATCTGCAGATGGTGTTTATCATGCAAATGGAACTTACTTTGCCAGGTGGAAATGAAAATCTGATGGTCTTGCTGGCAAATGGACAAAAACCTGTGTGTAACCAGTTTAGGATCTTTTAACTTTGCTTGGTGAGTGCTACCAGGACAATTGCAGCAGCAGCAGCTCTCAAATGCATGCTGGGCCTTAAGTGAGCAAGAAAGCCAGTCCACTTCTTCCCTGTTTTCCAACTGTACCTTCTCAACACTACAAATACAATCCTTGTCCCATCACTTCATGAGCAAATTGCACCTCATAGTCTCACTCCCTCTTCCTTATGCTTCCACAGCATCCCAGTGGACACAGGAGATCTCAGTATTGGTTCTTGCAGCAACTGCTGTAACTCAGGCAGCAGAT